ATTATAAGTACTTTATTGTTATTGAATAATTGGAAACTTGATTAATCCATTTAACATATAATTAAAATTATATTACATGAAAAAAATTGTTTCCAATTCAAACTTAAGTTTCAATATATATTCGAAATACAAATAATTAATATTCTTTATCTTGTTTAATTAAAATATAACTCTGATTCTGTGAAGTAACGTTTGGCTGACTAAATTTAGACTCAGTTTTGACATTCAATGCTCTGTCTAAGCTAAGCTTTGTCGAGGCGAATTGACAGTAAGAAAGCACCTCGCTAACGCTCACGTAACTGTTTGCGGATGATTATCTATCCACAAATGAACGTGCCTTTATCCCAGACAGTGTCCTGCAAATGCTAAGTCTGTTTAAAGCCTTTCCAACTAAAGAGAAGGATCCATTCTATTTTCATCCATTAAAAAACACTACGTTTAATTACAAACCCTGTTTAAAATGGATTTTTAAACGTCAGATGTTTTCAATTTGACTATACGAGTATTAGAAGAATATATATGTTTGTGTAGATATATATGAATTAATTTTAAACCATGTTTTCTTTTTTAAAGAAAAAAGGATTTTACTCTTGTATTGCGTATGTCTTTTGCCAGAAAAATATTAGTTTTGTCAGAAAAATATTAAATTATGGAAACAGCGTTTATAAAAAGTTCACATACAGCATGTTGTATTTCCTCATCCAATTTTTTTAACACATTTATCATGATTCCTACAAAAGTTAATTCTGCTTTTTTACTAATACGGCCTTTTCTCATGTATATGTGTAAGGAATCGTCAAAAGCATTCTTTGGACTATTCTCTATTATGGTGTATAAAAAACTTATGCGAAGAATATTGTTAATTCTATGTCAGAATGACATGATAAATGACTAAGCAGTTTTTGTCATTATTTCCTTATAATACAGTCTGACTCTAGAAAATGAATATCTACTTATGTAAGACGTACACACGTTGAAACTGTCACGTGTATGTATAAATATAAATACGTAAAACAGTATAAAGGTCTTGTATTCATAAAATACATTAACGAAGATACATCAAGTGACCATTAAAATGCATGATTCTCTTTTTTTTTTAATTTAAATTCCATCTAGTCTACCTACACCTGGTGACAAATGCTGATGAGCTAATTCAAACTAATATTTTTTTTTTCAATTTGTATTTGTAAATAATTTTTTCAAGAAACTAATCTTAAATAAAGTACGATATTAAAAATTTTGAACACTAAATCAGAGATTACAATTTTAGCAAAATAAATATAAGATTAATACAAGAATTTAGGTACATTTTAATTGGAAAAAGACTCATTAAACTGTCTAAGATATCGCATACAATAATAACAACAACAAGCAATTAAAGAGTTTGTTCAGGAATAAAAACTAATCAGTGATTTATGTCACTTGTTCTTTAAATTCAAATCACAAACTCTATTACACTGATCCTGTGATAAAACTTATGGTGGATGTAATTTTTTTTATATACTACTTATAGGATTATGTTATTATCCATTACGTTAACTTTAGATAAAGTGAAAATTCAGGTGAAATGAAAGTGAAAATAAAGTAAATTGCGATTAGGAAATGAAATACGAAATTTTAGGATTAGCGAAGAAAGTGACAAAATAGTGTAATAGTTAAAATAAATTTGTAGAAGATGTTAGTTTTTATGAAAAATATAATTAGTTTTTATAATAATTCTGTAAAGTCAAACTCGAGTTTCACTAGCGGATTCGCGAGTGAATTTTCCATTACGTTAACATTAAATAAAATGAAAATGCAGATGAAATGAAAGTAAAAATAAAGTGTATTGCTATTACGAAATGAAATACGAAATTTTAGGATTAGCTTTGCTAATTATTTAGCTTTGTTTTTGTCATTGACATTTTTCGTCACAATTATACTGGACAATTGAACTTGTTAACGTTTCTCCTGAATAGCAACAGTTAAGAGTTATATATAAAGACTATTGCGTCATTATTACCGTAACCTATAATTTCAGGCACGCAATTATATTATTAATGATGATGGGTACAATCAGTGTAAAGAATACAATGTTTCATTATGATAATTTAATGAAATAATCTGTTTTATGAAATGTACTTACTCGATACCTACTCTATTTTATCCTTTGAAAATAGAATATCAATACTAGCTGTGCGGGAGGAAAGGGATTGTTAATAATGGAGACTGAGAATCCCATTGCTAGCAATATACCCAACCAGGTCGACCTCCTCGCGGTTCTCCCTGGAAACTATCATGATTAATTCCTGATGAATTCATCATGATGGGCTAACTGGCCTGTTTTCATTCTCATCGATCACCCTTCACTGGCGCCCCGCCAGCGTATCCCGTTAGCGCAGGCGGGGTTACCGTACCATTTTCACCCATCAAAAAAAAATACTAGCTGTGCAGAAGGAAAAAATTGTTAATAATAAGGAGGTTAATTCTTATTGCTATCAATATACCCTGTCAGGTCGACCTCGCGGTCCCCTCTGGATATCATCATGATTAATTTATCGTTTAATTCGTCATGTTAGGCTAATTGACCTGCCTTTTCATCCTCACTAATTATCCGCCACTGGTGCCCTGCCAACGTATATCGATAGCGCAGGCGGGTTACCATTCCATTATTATCCATTAAAAAAAAACTAGCTGTGCGGACAATTTTGTTTGCGTTATTATACAATGCGGGAGCATATTGATTAGTCAGGAAAAAGTTTCTTTAATATTTTTTTTTGTTCCAAACATAGTGTATGCCAAATTTCATATCGACTATTGAGACGTCAAATCGTAATTAAACATATTCACTTCTATAATATGAAAATAGACAAGATTTATAATATCAATAAGGATTAATCCGTTATGTCTCCGTACCTTATAATTTTACTGCCATAAACCACCCTTCGAAACGAAAACACACCAATGCAAAAACAGACGGTTTGGCAGCTTTAATAAGTGGGACAAAGCTACACAAGCAGATTACACTCGTGTTAATTCCATATAAATTTTATGACGATTGAAGTTGCTATGCTTTTGTAGAGTAATACCTTAAGTTATATTCTATCCTAAAGTAATTTTTAACAGCGAATACGCAAAACGAGCGTGTTACTGTTACGAGAAAACGTTTTGAACTAAAAAGATATTTAGGTTAATTAAGAAAGAACAACTAAATTACCCTCTATAATTTATATTATTCTCTATCTTTATTAGTCAAAAACAGACTCATTTAACTTTTAAACTTTCACGTTGCACGATTTATGGTTTATAAAAGAAAAGAATTAACACGATCATTTATGTAAACTATAATAATTTCCCGTCGTAGTTACCGTGTCTTTAAATGCATCGAATAAAGACACAGTCAGTGTTTTTTTTTTTAACGGATGATAATGAAATAGTAACCCAACCCCACCTGCGCTAACAGTATACGCTGGTGGGGCACCAGTGAGGAGTAATAAGTAAGGATGAAACAGCAGATCAGATAATGATAACACCTGATGAGTTGAATACACCTGGAATTCAGCACAATAGCAGACCACTTGGAGGTCGACCTGACAGGATACATTGCTGGCAATAGGACTGGCAGTTCGCATTACTAACAATCCCTTCTCCCCCCACACAGTCAGTGTTATATGCAGAAACTCTCAACGAGTACGTTAAAGAAAAACTTCTGCCTCGGAAACAACTAGACTGACGTAAGCATGACAGCGCTACGTCAGTCCGGTAACCATAGTCGGTATAATCTGGTCGAAATGTAGAGATAACTTGAGTAAATTATTATCATAATTTACCTTTGGATTTAATATATTTTTAGCATCTATGTTAAACTTCAAATGTTCTGTTCAAACTTCTGTTTGAAATTCTTCCGAAATTCCATGTAATTTCTCATAAATAAGATCACCGTGCAGTCGTTTTGTAATACTTATTTAATAAACTTCCATTAATAATTAATACACGATTAATAGAGTATTTATGCGAACATTCAAGTCAAGGTATCCTAGGTTAAGCTAATAGGCGATATACATAACATTATAATAAATATGACATATTAAATATCTTTAAATCTATATAATACATTACATTTAGTTCTTTTAATTACGCGTCCAGCTGTCAAGTTACCTATTATGGATGTTGCTAGATTTTTATCATTTTTCGATTTGTATTTCTTTAGAAAAATGCTCACTTGTAGGACACTGTCTTAAATGGGTACTAATAATTTCGATTTTTCTATGGAGAATATTATTTATGTATTTAAACTTTATTAACCAATACATTATCCTAACGAGTATAATATACAATTTAATTCTAGCTCATATGTATCTAGATAGAGTGTCGAGAGTTATAAAACTTACCAAAACATGTTTAAAGAATTAATGTTGAGGTTGACGCGTTATTTTTTCCTATTATACCAAAACATAAAAATATTTATAACATAATAAATATAAATGATCGCCATGTTGTCCCAGCATAGAATGGGTCACCCCTTCCTTTTCCGTGGATATCGTAAGAGGCGACTAAGAGAAATTAAAGATCGAGGTATGGGCAGCAGCGTCCCTCTCAAAACATCACCAAAGCATAACTACAGATGGCAGCCCGCTTGTCAAGCGTGGCAAATATTGGCAAACCCCTCCAATTTATGGTGACGACTATACATATTCAGCAATGAACAGATAATGGCCAATATGATAATGATGATGATATAATGTTAGTTGATGAAATAAAAATAAAATATATTAATTATTAAGTAATTATATAATATTAAGTATCTCCATAGATTTTTTTCTACTTAATTTAACCTACCCTTCAAAAATAAGCATAATATTGTCTGATATACAAATTGGGACTCTGTAATTAGCTAATATATGGTGTAAATATAATATTTTTCATTGTTCTAGATATGAGCTGTTGATTCCAGATGTATTATTAAAATAAAAATATATCATGTAATCTAAGATTAATTTATTAAATTCTCTTTTTTACAGGAGAACAAAGGATTCTTCACAATGTGTCCGGAGAGTTCCGTTCTGGGGAACTTACCTGCATATTGGGACCTTCAGGGGCCGGCAAATCCACATTACTCAACATACTGGCAGGATACACGTAAGTTATAATATACACTAATATTAATGACCTAAAAAAAATAGGTTCTCAATTCAAATATATTGCGTAATGCGTTGTACTATTATGTATGTATTTGTCAATTACAAATCTATTTTATTTTTCCAACCGATAGGATTTTCTCCCGTGTTAGTCCCACATTAATTTAATCATTATTAAAGGCTTTATTGACTAACAACACCTTCAATTGTTTTAATGAACCAATATATAACCGTTATAGCTTCAAATATTGGCCACCTGTAGCAATATATAACCCGAAGGACAGACAATGGACGGGAATAAAGCTTCTCGAGTAGCTATCCCTTACGGGCTAATGTAGTGCAAAGCGATCTCCGCCCACTAGATGGAATGATGATAGTATCCGATAGATGTGACCGTGCAATTCTTTTGGAAGATATAATATTCCGCTATTGACAAAGAATGACTGATATCATAATGATAATGAATATAACTTCTATTATATTTTTTTATATATTCTTTATTGCACTTAAACAATACATTCGACGATTAGTTTAACACTTGTTAGTAAGTGAGGACTTATCTCTGAAAGAGATCTCTTCCAGCCAACCCAATGTAGTTAGAGAGAAAATAATTTAATTTGGGTAATCGAGTGCAGGAAAGGTACCGGTGAAAATAATGTAAATATAACAAACACAAATTGTGAATTAATATATAAATAAATAGATAAATAAATAAATAAGTAAATAGATAAATATATATACATATGTATAAGTGCATAGAATTATCATGTATAATTGGTTAAAAGATGTGATTTCAAAAAATATTGATATTAAAAATGCAGAGACTTTATAGAAATACTATATAATAAAAATATATTTCATCATATCATATTAGCTCTTAACTGACTACTGCTGAACATAAACCTTCCCTATAAGGGGAGTTTTGCCAGTAGTTGCCACGCTTGACAGGCAGGATGGCAACCGCAGTTAGGATTTTGATGTTATTTTGAGAGAGACGTCCATCCCTCGGCCATTAAGTTCATTTAGTCGCCTCTTACGACAGCCACGGGAAAGGATGGGGTAGCCTATTCTATGCCGGGACCATATGGTGAAAAATATGTTTGATAGCAACACATTATAAGAATTGATAATAAGTTACTATTAAACATATTTTCATTTAAATCAAACCTTTTTAATTTTCGTAATAAAATAAAAATACGATAAGGAATCTAAAATTATAACATACCCTGTTCTTTGCCTTTACGCATCAAATACTGTAAATCATTAAAGTCTACTTATAAAAGACTTAGACAAAAATTTAAAAATAGTAAAATATCTTTTCTTTGATCCTGGTATTAGCTAATCAATATTATATTAAGTAAAAGTACATATACAATATATCGACAACTGTAACTATTCATTTCTTTGCAGATCAAACGGCGTTAATGGCCGCATCACCGTGAACGGTCATACGCGTGATATGAGAGTGTTTAAGAAACTCAGTAGCTACATAATGCAGGATGACCTGTTGCAGCCGAGGTTGACCGTCCAGGAGTCTATGAGAATAGCAGCCGACTTAAAACTCGGCAAAGAACTCGGCAAAGCAGAGAAGGAACTTATTGTGAGTACATGTTTTTTCCGTTAAATGTTCTGACTCTTAATCTTACACGAGTTTCTGTCGCCAAGTAGCTGACGCAGCTGTGCTTGTACAATAGTGCAAAAAGTAATTAAGTTGTAAAAACTAAAAAAACGCGACAGAATGTTCCCACTGACAAAAAACACGACCAGATGTAATATATATCGTTGGAAACACAGATGTAAATTCAAATAGATATAGTAACTGCGTGTTTGTATTTTATGTATATTTTTTTAACCTAAACAGATTTAAAAGACACTTGGACTGCAGCAAAATATTGATTCGAAATAAAAAAAAAATAGAAAATTAACAACAACTGGCATAAATTATATTCTGAAAGATTTTGGTATATAAGCAGATTTGCTACTAACGTAGCTCTTGTAATGCAAGTAATATTCCATATAAGTAATGGAGCATCTAATCTTCATATACATTGTTGCGTCATCTGTCTTTATCTATGTCGGTCGGAAAGATTTTTTAAGACTTCAGTTATAACGGTTAGTCTTTTCTAACAATCCTCCCCCCCCTCCTATGACTTATAATTGGGCCATTAAGGTGCCAAGTAACTTAACAGACGAACACACTTTCACATTTATAATATTAAGATTTCTACCATTCCTGGAGCTCATTATATTCCTATCTATATATATCCAATGTCTGTAGTTTTACAAGATCAACAGCAACAACCTACATAAAGTTGAGCATTGGAAATACTAAGAAGTTCGCTGCGGTCTTTGAATATTAATTTACAAGAAAGACACAGGTTCCCTGAAAGACAATTGGGTCACAAGATACACCGGAGAAACTATTATTTAATTTTGATCATGAATCGTTAGCGATATGTAAAACTAAATATTTATCCATACTATAAAATTTATTAAGACAAAAATTTCATGAATCAAATATTTAAAGACTACTCTACAGATTAGTACGGGAGACTTATATTTTTTGTCATTTTTCGACTTATTTTTGTTTAGTGGGAATGTTCAGTTCGCTGGTAGAACACTCCTTCCAAAAGATACTAACGATTTCACATATATAAGTCGCCGTGTGATCCCGAGAAAGAATAGGTCACCCCTTCCTATCCCGTGGGTATCGTAAGAGCCGACTAAAGGAGCGCGAGGGATGGACAGCAGCGTCCCTCTTAAAACATCTCTAAAGCCTGACTGCGGTTGCCAGTCCGCCTGCCAATCGCGGCAACTACTGACAAAACCCCCCAAGGGGGAGGCCTATGTTCAGCAGTGAACAATTAACGGCTGATGTGACGATGATAATATAAAATACAAATTTTAAATAACATAGATAATTTAATACTATGTTCATAATAATCAATAAGTAGTTTATAAATATTTTTTTATACGAGTTTAATTTTCATTTATAAGGAAAATGTGAACATATAAGTACATGATCGTATATATTTATGCATATGTTCCTTGACGCTAATCTGCAAAACCGCTCAACCGATTTTAATCATATTTTGTAAGTATGTATTATTTGTTCCGACTTAAGACATAAGATGTTTTCATGTCGATAAAGGCCCAGTAGGTAGCGGAAGGGGGCAAACTATGTTTACCGAGTCTCAGTAATATCTTTATATAAAAAAGCGTGGAGCTACAGACAAACTACAAAGCAGTTTTGCGGCACTATGAATATGTATAACCTATATATCTGCTTAGTTAAAATAAAAAAATGTACACAATATATCTTATACAAGCCGAGAATAAATTAGCATAATTGTATCCATTCTTACTATACCCAACTACCTTTATTATATTTTTCGCATTACTAATTTACATGATTGCATAATGTCACTGTCATTGACATACTAAAATGACATAGTTCTATTATTAACTTGTTAACCTGAAAACAAGAATAACCGTTGTAGAATTGACAAATGCTTCTAACTAGCTAGTTGCTTAGTATTATTTTGTTTAATTCCGCTACCATTAGTATGCAATTCAACAATTGGTGATTAATCTTCCGCGCCAAATCTTTGTTGTCGAAAGAATACTAAAAAAAAAATATGCTCACGACTAATGAGGTAGTCATAGGCAATTTGTCAACAGTTGTCGCTGTGATGAATGGAACACACGCCATGATAATATTTCGCCGAACATATTAAATGCAGTGTAGCACTGTGCATACTAAATACTAACAACAACGGAATTAAACAAAATAATACTAAAAAATTAACCAGTGATATGGAAGTCCTTAAAATAACATTACTTTTAATAAAATATTTAAAATTTAAGGCTTTTAAACATTAAGAACAAATTATAATATGCTTATTTTCCTTATTATATTAAATTAAATTTTGGATATTGTAAATATTAAATATTGTAGGAAAATAATGAAATAATTAAATACATACTATATCACTGACCAGCAATCCAACCCAGTTTCGCATGGGTTGCTATAATTTTCAAAAATAGTGTATAACCTATCTTACTCGCTGATAATGTAGCTTTTTCTAAGTGAAAGTATTTTTAGAATCGGTTGAGTAGTTTTGAGTTTATCCATTAAAAACAAACAATCAATTTTTTAAATTAGATAAGATCGTAAAGTAAATCCTAAGGTTGTCTTGAAAAGATTACTTTCAATGTTATGATCGCCTTATTATACTTCTACGATTATATTATTACATTTATTAGTTGTCTTGCTTTATTATCTATATTATATAATATAATATACACTCATTCATTCATTTTTCACTTTATATTTTTAACACAGATTGTATAGATATAGGCTTCATAAAATTTGAATAAATGTTTTCCCAATAGTTCTGTTATAGTTTTTGTTTATCTTTCATCAAAATACCTCTTTTAAGTCAAAGTAGACATCAACGTTATTTCTAAGCGACTGTGTGTATATTACAGGAAATATACGTTAATTAATTAAATGTAGAACCTTTTTATTATTTTATTTGATTCGAAGATTTTAAATTTTGTTATACTTTTTAATCGACTTTTTATATCGAATAAATTGAAAAAATCTCACAGGAACGAAAGACAACGGATTTTCGTGGTTCTAGACACAGGAAATAATTAGTAAACAGAATTAATTCTAATATTATTTACTATTGATTTTTATTAAAGATTGCCTGGTAAAGATCGTATCGAACGGTAAAGCCACCCATTGTTTGTGATTATTATTATTTTTAAATAATAATGAAAACAAAGAACAAACACACCTTTGACGACAGTTATATCCTGTTACAATGGATCATACGAATAATTGACAATGTGCCAATTGGTGTGTGAATGACCTTCTGCTACTTACTATCCTTCATTACGCACATTTTAAAGCACTGCCAAATTGGAAAATATTTTACATAGGAATTAATTTGTTTTTTTATTTCTTACACATAGAAACTATTTTCTCACGACCTAGTGAAATAAAAAAAATTATATAGAGATAACAGACTTTCAAGATTCAAGATTTTTTATTTGTGAATCATGAGTATAAACAAATAAACAATACAATTTTGTTCAACATATTTAGCCTATACGGTATACAAAAATATGTAGTTATACAGACAGTTTAAAATTACATATACAAGTCAATTTCATATAATTATTATATTCAAACTTGTTTAAAATGATATCTTCCTAATTATTATTTTATTGTACTAAATGTGTCTATTCTAATAGACACACTTTATAGAAGTTCTAAAACTACAAGCTCTTTTAAAATCATCTATTTTTTTATTAATGTCCCCTCAGTTGAAAATAGTAAATATAATGGTGAAACTTTATGCATTTAAACATTCTGACACTTCCTTAAGGTTGACTGGGAGAATGCTCTCCCTCCTTTTAACATTAAGTCCGCCTTGTAATAAAGAATAAATTATACATTTTTTGAATTGTAACAAGCTACAAAACGTGTGCTATGTCAATATGTAGAAGTAGGAACATTATATATCTCGACAAATTATTTATACACGTATCGTAAGTGACAAAAACACTAAAAGCAATGCCTAATATTAGCACGTCGAAACCCAAAGCTTATATCAGATAAATCTGTGATGTTCTTTTGTTAAAACCTTTGAATGTAATAAGTACTTGCATAGAAATCAACTTTCTGAAAATAAATTAAACCTTATTTTATATCTTATATATCTATATAACTTATAGATTTATAAATAAGTGCCTAATTAGGAATTATGCCACTGTTTTGGGTTAATTGTCTTGATCTCTTTTTTAGAGATAAGTTCATTTTTGCCCATATTATTTTTAATGATTATTTAAAAATAGTAATTTAATGAGTCCAATAGAGAATATATAGTATTAATACACATAACTGTGTCACTTTACAGCTGTTGTTGTAAATTACATTCTATACAGTGTAACGGGTTTTGTCTGCAAAATAGCTTTATGACTATGTGAGGATTTTTTATATAACATAACAATAATTCACATCAATTAAAAAAAATAAATTATGTTGTTTTAATTCGTTTATTTTGATACTTAGTTATATACACGGAAGTATTTATCCAAGTTGTGACGTCCTACGATGTCCAATCATGGCCGATCACGTTTCGTATCTTGTAACTCGTAGGTAAAAAATAGCAAAATTGTTTTACCTTTAAAACATTTTGAATTTATCACAAAAAAAATTGTATACTAATGATTTAGATTGACTTCTTACGATTGGATAGAACATTTGAAAAAAATATGTGTATAACTAATAACGTAGCTTTCTCTGAGTGAAAGAATTTTTAAAATCGTTTAAGTAGTTTTTGAGTTTATTCATTACAAATAAACAGTCAAATAATATTCATATTTTATTATTATATATAATTAATATTTTATTGTTAACAATTGTCAATACAGTCGTAACGAAATCGGATTTTTTATATATATTATAAAAATCGGATTTTTTCAAACTCTGTAGCAAATAACTGTCTTTTACGAAACAATATGTATTACATTTAAATCTCTATCAAATTCAAATCATCTTTATTCAAATAAACTTGGTTACATACATTTTAGATTTGCCATTTTTTTTAAACCTAATCTGCAGGGTTCGTAAAGTTGTTATCTGCTGAGAAGTGTCCCCAAGAAATACGAGTATGACGTTAGTTTTTTGTCTGAAGTTACATGGCTATTAAAAAGCCTATGCATGATCGACTAACACTATACACGTTTGTAATCCAAATAATCGTTATTTTGTAATATATTTTGTTCAATAAGTGTATCGTTTACTATTACAATTACTTTTTAAAACATTTTAATTTATGTATTAAGTAGACGTTGCAATCAAAGTGTATTTCATTGTTAAAAGTTTCGTAAGTACACTTTATATTTTAATTAGACATATAATTACGTATTCTGAATAAACATACAAATGAGTTAATCCCGTTACTTCCATAATTGAAACATATTCTGTCTATCAACATGAATGCACAATTGAGGTATTTTTTTATCTTAATAAATATCCTTACTTTTACAGATAGAAACGTTCCACATATACATGTAGAGACTTCATTTTTTTTTTACTGTTTCACTCTAATTGGACTCAATTAAGTCTTACTACCGCGTACTTTATCTGCAACGACCCTTTCAGATACAGCTACTCAAATAGATTGCAAGATAACGTCCCTTTTAAATCTGATTAGCTCACGTAACGTGTTTTGCCTTCCTACGTGTGTATTTCAGATTTAAGAGAAATAAAAACGTACAATTATCTTAATTGCGACTATCAATTCGCAATCCAAGACCCTCAATATAATAATTTTAGATAGATATATGAATGTAACGTAGTCATCCAGTAAAGGCTTGAGATAATAATGGACATAATGTCCTCGAACAAAGTTTTTTTTTTTTGTGTAAACCATGAATCCAATACCAAGTCGCGTGTACATTGTAATACAGTATCAAAAATAACCGGTACTTTAACTCAGGCATTTCCCAAATAATTATATGACAATTCTGAACCCACTATATATATATACTATAGATGTATGTATATAGCATGTAATCTTAGAGGTTTTATTATGACCTAATTAAGGTTTGCGCTGAGAATTGTCGTTAGAGGTAATAGCTTCTGTGGAACAAGCAAATATAAAGGGAAATTTTATCAACGGACAATGTCCTTCCCCTGTGTAGGATATAAATAAATCTGTATACTTGGGAAACGTATATGAAAATTACATGGAGAATGAATAGGGAAGTCACTCACTTGCACAGGCAAGTGTACGAAAAATAAAATAGTACCCCCACTTACGCTGTTGGTAAATACAGGCGGACAGAGAGGAATGATAGGTAAGAATGAAGTCAGGTCAATTGAATCATCTTAACCAATATTAAGAGGGGAAAGTGATTAGTAATGGGGACTAGTGGCCCCATTGCCAGCAATCTGCTCAATCAGGTCGCAGTCTCCATCGAAACCATCGTGTTAAATTTATAACCTGAACCTGGCTTCCTCATCGCCTATCATTCACAGCGTATACCAATATCTTAGTCAAGGTTACCATTCCTTTTTCATCCATCAAAAACTAGTATGCAGAATTCATCTCAGTGTATTAGGTATTCACAAATCACCAGCCGAACCACATGTCGATTGAACTATCGAAATTCAATAAACGTCGATGCATTTGAATCACAATAACATTGTTATTGATGAGTCATTACATTAATAAATCAGCACCCATACATACATACAGAGTACAAAACGTAAATTTGTCATACAATTATATACCCAAATGTTTTTGTTAACTTTTAATTGCGTATTAATCGATAGAATACGAGTATAAATTAAAACGATTACACAAATAATAATATTTAGAGGGTGTCACAGAGTATTCTGTGAGACATCACATATGTCATAGATATATGATGCTGTTCATGTCTATTCGTGAAACTTACTTATTTAGGTGAGCCGTCCATTGTGTATTTAATACTAGCTACATCCCGCAGCTTTATCCGCGTTAATCACTATATAAATTATTCATATGCTAATTTAAAATATACTACTCATATACTATTGCTACTCATGTACAGAATTCCATTCGAATCCGTTTAGTAATTTTTGTATGAAAGAGTAACAAAAATCCATCCATCCATTCATACAAATATTCGCACTCATATTATTATTATTTTTATTTATCAGTCGTTAACTGTTAACTGCTGAACATAACCCTTCACCATAAGAGGGATTTTGTCAGAAGTTGCCTCGTTTGGCAAGCAGATTGGATCTCTAGTACTTATTTCACCTTTACTACTTATTACCTATAAAGAAAAATTAGTAAAACTAATTATCTGGCACTATTTCATATATGTTAATGAACTTCCCAGTAAAATACAAATGTAATTAAATTTTTCCCAACGTATTTCTCGTAGTGTTTGATAGTAGGATTTATTTTGAATTAACATCCATATTAGAAAATTAATTTTAACCCTAATGTGTTAAAGCTGATTATAGATATATTTTATACAAAAAGATAATTCTATGCCTTCATATTCTTTAATTTCCGTAGTCACAAGAATTCTCATGTGATTTTAGTATCTAGAAAGACTTATATTGCAGTAGATGACGCAAATGCTTATTGTGATTACTCAATATATATTTTTTCATATACTTGTACATTACATAATGTATTCAACCTACTCGTATATTAAATATAAATATAAATATGTCACTATTAACTAAGTATCGTATTATTTATTTACAACAATCCTTGTTACGCAAATTTTTTATTTATTTTTTATCCTCTTACAATTTTTGACATAATTTTATGTAAAACACCAAATACATAGAATGTTATCCATATTGGAAGTGGGCTCATTTGAGATAAGAGAGAAAAACTGGCACGCTAAGTGCTCGTAATTACGACGTCTATAAAATCCATGTGTGAGGACAAAATAAAATAGTTATTATCTCATCATCTTCTACTTAATTAATTTTAAGACTTGGAAATGATATTTCCAAATTAGTATAATAGTCATAAAATTTTTACAATATTAAAATAAATAATTAAATAATAAATGTAATATAAAATATAATATACAAACATTAAAAACAATTTATTTAACTTAATGTTAGAGTTAATGAAATTTATAACGTTACTAGCCATATAATCGATAAAATTTCCCATCGGCAGTCTCCATATTAGAAACTTTCATTCCATGATATAGATAAGATCGTAATATCTTAAATCGCCGTGTGGTCCCGTCATAGAAAAGGCCAACCCGTCTTTTTTTGTAGCTGTCGTAAAAAGCGACTGAGGGAACTTAATAGTCGAGGGATAGGCAACAACATCTATCTTAAAACATCGACTATTCCTAACTGCGGTCGCCAACCAGCTCACCAAACATAACAACTACTGGAAAACCCTTGTTTGTTACCTGTTAGTACCTCAACGATTAACCGAACGAAAAACCGCTCCTTATGGTAGTTTCCATAGACATCCTCCCTCTTGGGAGGCCTAGGTTTATTTTATGCAACTTTGAATGACAAACATGCTGACGGCCCACCTGATAGAAAGTGGTAACCGTCGCCTATAGACATAAGTAGTACCATGGACATAACAGAGTATATTGTTTTGGTCATGATACTCCCCATACGTTGCCATTCAGGTCAAGACTCAGATGTTACTCCTCTGTACCCTGTAAATTCACTGTCATGTCCTACCCTTCAAACTGAAACACAGCCATGCAAACACAACTGATTCACGGTAGAAACACGAATGTGCCAATAATATCCGAGCTAAAGACTTTTGTACAAAATCTTCCTCTGGTAAAAGTGGGCAATGGTTCAACAGTGGGCAATTAACGGCTAATATAATAACAATAAAATCTTAAACCCCCATATACAATGTAACGTCAGTAGTATTATCTAATAGAGACAGATGCTGACATAACGACAGTTCAAGGGGAATGCATACGCGATACTTAGCCGTAAACGCAACAACTAATCTAAAATTTAAATTACATCCTTCAATAATAACTAATTGCACTACTGAGATAACTATCACGTCAATGTTGCTCTGTATTTATTAGCAATTATCACAAATAATAACAAACTCTTATATAACAATATATGAACTGTTTTTCTTTTAATTAATACAATGTTACAGTTGTTTATCACATTTTATTGATATAACTCTCATTTATTATACTTTTATTAAAAATCTATTAAATTTCAGTGTAAAAACATATCAAAGTGTGATAAAATCATAGTTCGATTTTTAATAATAATTGAATAATTTGTAATATTTCTAAATGATTATTTGAAAACTGATATTGTACATTTACTTCGTTAGTCATAGAATAAGATCCACTTGAACCTATCACAAAAAATTTTACACATATCTACTTCATATTTTGCTTCGGAAATTTTCTAAAATAACTTTACTATCAACATTTATTTTTTCAGTGACAGCTTTATGAAAATCCTATTAGATAATTAACATTTGTGTACGCTAACAGAGCTATTTTTGAATAATCGATCAAAAATATTAAAAACTCTAAAATTATGTATATTCAAAAACTGTCAAATAATTCCTACGTTGCCATTCTTCCATAAACGTTTGTATGAATGCTCCTAAAAATTTAGTACAATTATCAGAGATGACAAAATACCTTCAATAAACTAACTACATTTCACAGATAGTAATAAAATTTATAAGGATATGACTACGAAAATTAGGTAACGTACAATGAAAGCAATGTATACCACGCGCTGAATATCGACTAAAATGTGACTTATCCCATACTAAATTATAGTCGTAAAGATATTTAATTCATTTTATATATGTTTATTTTACAGATTATAGAGATTCTTCAGACCCTCGGCTTATGGGATCACAGGCATACAAGATCAGAATGCCTGTCTGGGGGACAGTCGAAACGCCTATCAGTTGCATTGGAGCTTGTCAACAATCCACCTATCATATTTCTTGATGAACCAACTACGTAAGTATTTTTGTATATATATAAATAATATTAGTAAGACGAAATCATATGAAATACTGTTTTCATCTGAGCGTACAGAGTCAAATTAAATCAACTAAACTCAACATGTATTCCAGAAAATTAAAGGTCAAAAACGTCAACCCTTCAGAAGACATTTCAAAAGAGATTCCCCCGTAAACGCTCAAAGTATGGAATGAACTCCCTGCCGTAGTTTTTCCTAAAATGTGACATTCTTCAAAAAGGGCATATTAAGGTTTCTTCAAAGTTGCAATCTAACACGTGAGACTCATGGTGTTACAGACATCCACAGACTACGGTAACCGTTTACTATCAAACAGACTGTATACTTGTTTATCATCTTCTTGATATAAAATACTAATGCTTATCATTAACTAAATACCTACGCAAATGCTCAAAATTAAAATAACAAATCGATGGATATTTCTTGAAATCGTAATATGATTCTATCTATATATATATTGATGCTTTTCAAAAATTTTTTATTTACATTATGTTTATAATTAAGCTTAGTGTTGGTAGCTAAATATGAAGCTTTATTTTTTTACATTTTTCCTTCACCTTGTTTACGAAACTAACTGGGCAAGCTAGTTTGACAACATTTTTAATTGATCAGGCAACATAAGGTATCCCGCACTCTATCCAGAGTTTAAAAACTCTGATATACCAAAATGGAAAAAAAAATGTATACTAGTTATTAAATGAAGACTACGGCTGTATAGATAAGTACCTAAGCCTTTCCTATTGATAGGAAAAACAGAACCAAAAAAAATTATAATACTTTTTTTTATATAAAAGAGATGCGAGTATCTTTTTTGAAACAGCCATATTTGAACTACAAAGAGAGAATGAAAACAGCTCGAAACGGTCAAAGTTTGACCTATTACTTACACTGTGCTAACTACTTATACACAATGGACTTATTTTTTTATAAGACTTACAGTGGCAGACAAATGAAAGTTCACCTTATGTCTAGTAGTAACTATTCCCTATAGTCATTGACCTCATAATGCCCATGAGCATCACAGAATATACTGCGATAACTATGGTTTATGTTATACCTCCGCACCCTGTAATTTCCTAATGAGAGTCGGGTTTAATTTTCAATCCAGATAATTCAATGTTAGAAAATTATTATCGCTATTTATTTACCACCTGAGTGTATAATTATCCCCAGAAAACCAAGCTTATATTAATATATCATTACAGTACACGTAAATAAAAAGATCGTATTACCAAAACTAGGTAGTAATATAATCTAAGAGTAAAAAAAAACAATTAGTGACGGACGCAATAACTGCGATAATCCCAGTTATCTACAAAAGAAAAACCATGGTTCAACATGAGTAATTGCTATAATTTATTTCGTCCTTCTTAGCTCTCTAATATAAATAGACGTCTCTTAAGTAAGAAAAAACGAAAAACCAAGAATACTTTTATCAGCTGATAATACAAATTACGACGACTTTTTTTAATGAATATAAATAGAATAGTGGACCTGTTTGTACTATCGATATACGCTGACGGGGCACCAGTGTGGGATGAATGGGGAGGACGAAAACAAATCAGTTGATCCATCGTTACGAATTCAACGATAATAACCACGATGATTTCCATGGGGAACCGTGTGGAGATCTATAACCAGCAATATGGCATATATTGGTAATGGAGCCGTTAGATCCCATTACTAACGATCCCGTTCCAACCTTTCCTCCCAGAATAGATGTGTTATAATGTTGATGAACAATTTAGATCCAAATATCTTTACTAAATTTATAATATTACTTAATAATATTAATAGATTAGGACAAAAAAAAATAAGATGATGCCATAAATCCAGAATGAAACGTAATATCTCGTCCTTTATGCATATCCTCATACCCTGCCAGCCTTCACTATAAACGACCTTTATCTCAAGTAACATATAGTATCATCGTCCTTTATTATGGTTTCTGTTGAAATACTAGGATATATAGGGTGCCTAAGATAAGATCAAAGGGCCTTTAATATCAAGACGACTGTCTGTTTCCAGAATGTGTCTTTGAGATGTTCTCAAAGTCACACCGAAATTTGGCAACGTTTACATTATTTGTGAATTTTCAAAAGCAATTTTCAATATTTCTTTATGGTATATGCGTCTCTAGAACCGATGTGTAAGCATTAAACGCCGTATGAAAGTTAATGAAATAACGTATATACGTAATGGCTTGTACAGACGAGAGACATTTTGTCCCTAGACAACATTTTTCCTTTATGTTCACCTCTATAGCCCCGCCTTTTAAATCTGATGAGAAACTTCTCTCAACACACATTTTAGTCCGGTGATGATTAATTTAATAATACACATACGTGCTTACACTAAGAGAAAGATTATCTTAAAGATAGTAAAATTTTAAACTTCACTCTGCTGATCCTGTAAAGACCTGGAGTACTCGTAAACATAAATACATAAGTATTTTTGTCAATTTTGACATATACTCACAACTCCCCAATGAAGTTGTCAAAGGAATTTGTCGCCTGTTACAGTTGTGTTAAACATAACACTCGACATGCCCATATTTCGTCGAACATACCATAATCCAACGTAGCTCTTGGCGAACCTACCACTGCTATTCGCACTAGTATTTATTTTTGACGCTATTAAATAAAAACTAGTACATATCAGACTACAGATCATAAAAGTTTGAAATATTACACATAGTTTTCATATATAATGTAGATACCCAGTAAGAAAGGGATTTCGGAATGCCCACGGGAATGGCAGATAACAATGGATGTAACGGGTTACGCTGGGAAGCCTCAGGGCTTTCTTATAGCATAAAATATCTCATCAAACACATAAATGTAAAAAGGGCCAAATCTTATGTAGATAACACAGATAATATAATACTGTATAGGCAGTAAATAAACCTACATTGAAATAAATCGCATATCTACGAAAATATAACGTTAGAAGTACCTACAAGGAACAGCAGTTCCATCATACAATATTAGTACTAACAGTAGGGACTTTTAAGCAATTTCTTAAAAAACTTTACAAGTTCGTCTGTATTTATCAAATCATGGCTGTGCATTACTATGTTGTAATTATATTTACATTATACATGCATTGTATTTTAAGCGCTTTTTCAGGAAAAACCGCCTAAAAGTACTACATGTATTTTAGTATTGCAAAAGTAAAAAATTGTCGATGTAACTTAACAGGCGTTTACTAATTGGATCGACGAGTAAGTTGTTTGAATAGAAATTATCAAAGAAAAGCACAGTAGCACAGTATATGTGTAGTATGACTCACGAGTTAAATACTAGAATTTAAAGCTAGATTTACATTTTAAAATATCTTAATGTAATATTAGACTAAATATTAAAAATATTGAAATACTCGTATGAATTTGTGGGTAGAAAAACATAAAAAGTCATGACCTGTATATTCCTGATACTCAAATGAACTGGGATTGCCAATGCCGAGCAACTATTTCGACTAATTAATCAAAAAGGAGAAACATCTGAAAAAAAAGATAAACAGAAAAAATATATAATAATTGTGTTGGGAAGTTTTTATATTTCAACATTTTTTTTAATTGACTATGACCAGATTTCAGTTTGTAACCAGTCCCTACACTGGTTACAAACTGAAATCTAGTAAGGCCAAATACGTACTATTGAAATGGTCACGCACTGCACGTTGCATGTTATCGCACTGCACGTTGGATGTTCTAAATATTCCTTCAGGCGTAGATATACCTGAGGTCCAGTGAAATAAGTTCAAGAAAATTACATCTATACAATGGGAAGTAATTGACTTAATCACGCCCGTCGTAACATTTTATTGATCGTAAAGCTGGGCCGTGTTTAGAAAATTGAAACATGCCTCGACCTCAGGCCGGAATCGGAGTCGCAAACCGAAAATCCAATTGCAATAAAAACGCTAGAGAGTCGACTCGTAGCTGACTGGTTGATCCTTCGGGGAGTTCTGCAGCACGTACGAGTATGTAACCTAAAGCTTACGGACTTGATAAAACTACGTAGTACTGCACAGACTTTCAATAGATGTGTCATTATCTATCATAACGCCTCAAATCAGACCTCTTACACAGGGCCGGGCTTAGCCTACCTGGTACCCCTGGCCAAGATTTAAACGCCCGGAATTAACACGATCATTTGGATAAACTATAATAATTTACTTAAGTTATCTCAACGTTTCGACCAAATTACACACTCGTATAATTTGTTATTATACGTTGTTGTCGAAATGTTGTTACACGGCTGTAGTCACGAATAGCCTGATATAATACAAGTTACAAGTTAAGTCCCTATATTGAAGATTTCTACACAGAAAACTAACCATATCATATGTCTCAAAGGTAAATTATCACACTTTACCCAAACGATTGCGTTAATTCCCATATGTTATAAACTATAAAGCATGCAATACAAAAGTCTTAAAGAGGTGCTCCGGAGAAAACTTTTGTCAACGCATGCCGCCTTCCCAGATGACGAAAAACTTAAGAGGAGAGATTTTTCGTAGTCAGGCAAGACGCCCTTTTCGATCTCGGCATCCCTGAGCCCGCCCTAACAGGCCTCTAAAGCCAATACTACATTTACGGGAGAGATATGAAAAATGCTATGCTCGGAATGTACCAAAGAGTTCGAACCGATAATCAATTCGAAAAAAGATTCATGAGTGGTCCACCTATAAGTTAAGGTAGATAAATATATGACGATTACTGATGAAATAAGGTGATAACCTTAAAACAACGCAGAAGAAACCAAAGTAACGATGACTAGAATACAGTATTGTAAAAAATAGCCATTTTCCATTTTAACATCTGTCTCATTTTCTACTTATTCCTTCAAGCAGTATTCTCAGAAATGTTTCTTGAGAATAATCTCGACGATGCATTTTTAATAAAACCACAATTCCTTTCTACATTAAGAGTCAAAGTAAAATTGAAATAAGTACTTAGGTACGTACGACAAGA